CCGCTCGGTCCTCGGAGGTCCCGACGGTGCCGGGCGCGCCGCGCTCTGGCCGCCTCCGCAGGTTCCCTGGGAGCCTGGCTGCTGAGCCCAGTAGATCCCACGCCAGCCCTGCACCCGCATTTTGTAGGCAGTGGCGGTAATCTTGGAAAACTTGGAAAGCCTTTTCATTTGTATAAATTCACAGGTTCGCTTTTGAACTGAAAAAAAATATTATTCTTTATAACGAATTCTGACGCCTCGGGTTTGCCAGGCAGTAATTTTGTTGTTGTTGCACCGCATTAACAAAATATGTGTTCGCTACTTAATGTAAACTGAATTCTCTTTCTTTTCCTAAATTCGATGTAGAAAAAAATTTATTAATTACGCATATGGGGGGATTATACTGTTATAGCATTGGGGGGAGGAGAGATGGGATTTAAAGTCATGTTTCTGAGAGTTCATTTTACAGTTCTCTTGTTTGATTTTCTATTTCTTTCAGTTGATTTCTACGCTAAACTTCTCCCGATTAACTTAAACACACACTGAGCACACACAACATGGTTAAAGTTGTTTTCCACCATGCTTATTACAAGATAAACTAAATTTTGTCCACAAGTAAATTGTTTGGTTCTGACTTAATGGTTGAAAGAAATACAAAAAACAACATCAGAATATTAAAATTTTACTTGCATTGAGTTTTAGGTTACAAATCAAGGTGATTTGTTTTTCGAGTGCCCATTTAGATGAATTTGATGTACCTGTTAGCTTTTTTAGATGGTGTGACAAATTTTTGAAAGCCGTTTTAATGAGAGGTCGTTAATGGTTACAGCCATTTAGGCAACGTTTGCATAACAATAGTGCCAATGTGTGGCACTTCTCTGGGTTCAGGGACCAGCGGGGAAAGCCTGCAGCATAAAAGTTTTGTTTTATGAGGGTCCCTAACCTCTTCAGCCACTCCTGAAAGTTCTTAAGATGCAAGATCTACTTCTGAGAATGGACCTAATCCTCAGATTTGGGTGGGTTTGATTTTAGTCTTACTTTTGATCGGATTTTCCAAACAGCCCTGAAAGGAGTTTTAGGTATGCAGTAGGTATCTCAGAATTTAATTTGGAAGCTCTTGCAGCTCTTTTTCTCTAACTTCCCCAGCTCTCTTTTTTCTCTCGTTGTCCCCCAGTAGGAAAGACAACTGATTTATAGCTAATTGAAGTCTTTAATGTGGAGTCTTTTCGCTCAGGGGAGACTTTTATCCAGTATCCACTTTCCCACTTATTACAAAGAAAAACAATCAGAAATGAAATAATGGATTGTAACTTGATTCTTTAATTTGTGGGGAGGAGGCATCTTATTTTTGGCTTGACAAACAACCCTCATAAATACTGAGTAATACTAATCGGAAGGTGACCCCTTTTCACAGAACCTTGTAAAATCAGGTATCTGTGAACATTCCCAGCAGCTTTCCTCCTCAGCTCTTTAGTGAGACTTCTAAATTTTCTGAGACAAGCGTTGTGGGCAAGCAGCTTTTTAAACGTAGAGCAGAAGTTGCTCTTTTGGTAGCTGAGGGCAATAGCGAATGCTGTTTTACTTAAAAGGAAAATAAGATTAATGGAGAGTTTTTAAAAAAAATTCTCTTATTATCACAGTGAGGGAAATTATATTAGCACTTTCAAACAGAAGAATGAACAAGGTAGAATGGACAGTCCTCTAGAACAGTGATACCACATTCACTAGGAATTTCTAAAAGGGTAATTAATGGCTAAAAATTATTATGCTGGAGAGCTCGTTAAATAACACATAGGAAACAACAATCTTTGTATCAGAAAATGGTACATGACAAACGCAGATGGACCCTTAATCATTTTGTCTTGTTGAACAAATACATCTTTAGTAAAGGCTGTTGCGGTAGGATTTTTAAATATGATTTTGGGACCAACATAAAATCGCTACTGAGAATTTCAGGCAGCATGCATTTGGAAAACTTTGCACTGTGATCTTGTATTTTTCTGTATTTATTCACCATTCTCTTCTCCTAAAACTATTTTACTTCTTTTTAATAAAAGGGGAATGAGGGAGATAATTAGAAAAAAATCGTTACCGCCTTTGTTTGTCAAAGGTCCAGTGAAAATGCTCCAAGGATGTTGAAAGGGCTAACCTCCTGTTTTTTGTTTTTTTTTTTAATGTGTTGACTTTCAGGCAATTACGTTTAGTTTTTAAAATAAGCCTCCCTCTCTGAGGGCCCACTACCCATTTTAGACTAATGATCAACAGCAATACCATCTTTGGAATATGCCTATTTTTATTTCCCTAATAAAGCAAGCTAGACTTCAAGTTTAAAAAGTGATTTCTTATTAAGGAATATGTAAACCAAACAGACAAACAAAAAAAAGACTGCATTAGTTAAGAGAGTGATAACAGCACCAACGTGAAAGAGTGAGTGGACTACTTTGAAGAATGCTTGACAGCTAGCGTGGGAGTCTGATTGCTTTTAGCTATGCTTTTATGAATTAAAGGTTTTCTGAATTGTTTCTGTTTTATCAGTCAGGATTTTAGAACCTTTTTATAGCTGAATATATCACAGGAGTACACACATTGTAAAATCAAGTCTAGTACTTTACTGACCGCCTGGAACTGCAGCGGAGATCTTTTCTTTTCCAGATTCCCAGGTCTTTGGAAACTTTCTATCTTATTACCACCCCTACTTTCTCCTTTGTCTGTCATCTCTCCTGGTTGTACTAGTCCCTCTGTCCCCTACACATACAGACACACACACAAGTGTTGAACTCTTTCTCTGTTGATCACTTTTTCAGTGAGAGTTTGTGCCCATAACTAACAGTAACATGAAGTGGTATGTTTTCCTCTAGCATCTGATACTGTGGGGACCTAGTATGGAGGGAGGGAGGGGGACATTTGTAGGATATCAACCCACCAAATTAGAAGAGGAGAAATAAAAGACAATCAATTGATAATCAGAGCTGATGTACATTGGGTAACTACTATTTATCCTTTCATTTATTCAATTAACAACCTTTTCTTGAACATCTGTTTTCTGGAGTCAATTTGAGTTCAGTTCAAAGGATATTTGAGTGGCCATGTTTCTAACTGTGCTTTGTGTTACACTAGCTGGGCTGTGGAAGCAACCTCCTTCTAAGAGCTTAGGGTCTTACTGGAAGCATTGAGGGCCAAAAATTACTTGTCAGTCTGGTGGTAGTTCAGTTGATCAATGTAAAAATAACAATAATTACTGTACTTATAATGCCACTTACATTGTTTATAGGGCCTAATGGTTTATCTAGCACTTTCATATATATCTTATGATTCTTGCAATACCTTTTAAAGGGGAGAGTAGGAAGAAATAGAAATAATTGATAAGGAAGACCTTGGCCTTGACTTTTAAAAATTGATAGAGCTTTCCTCACCATACCCTTTGCTTTTCCTAATGGTCACATACTTTTTTTGAGAGAGACAGATAGAGAGAGAGAGACTTTAAATCTTTATTTTTGTGTTGCTTCTATTGCAAACATGGAGATAATATGAATTGCTCTACTCCTCTTAAGAAGGAGCTACCTTTTGTGACTTTTGATTCCCTGACTTTAAATTACTATTTTTGATATTTCTATGGATTTTATGTCTGGGGCGAGATTGTTGCCTATCCTAGGGATCATTTCTTATAAGATTGTGTGGTTCTAGTTGCTTCCAAGCCTCTAATCAAGATTGTCTGTCTTGGTCATACTTATTTAGAGGGGACCTCTCATTAAAAAAATACTTTTTTTTTGCAATTGCACAGCTTTTTGATGTTTGTATCATCTCCATTTAACCTGTGGGAGCTGATCAACTTCATCATAAGACTTGAATTAAGTAATTCTCCTGGGGTCCTGCCTGCCCTGATGCCTTCTGCCGCGTGGGCTTATGTTACCATATAGAACCACCATTTGCTGAAGCACTTCTGCCCTTTTTATCTATAAAATGAAGAATCAGTTTTTTTATTTGAGGGTAAAAGATTCTCTGAGGAGCCTGTTCTGTGAGGTCTCATTTCCTTATAGCCAGGCTTAAGAGAAGCCAGGCATGCATAATTAGTTCTCTGTTGTATTAGATAAGCACCAGGATCAGACCATGACCAAACCAAAAGCATCTCAAATACCAACATGCACAGTTCTCTGTCAAGTCTTTCTCAGCTGGATAATGGAAAACACTGATAGGTATTTTTCTGTTTTTAGTTATCTTAGTGACAGCTTGCAAGGGTCACCAAACTATAGACTGTCTGCCTAATTTTGTAAATAAAGTTTTGTTGGAACACAGCCACACTCATTCAGTTACATATTGTCTGTGGCTGCTTTTGGACTGCAATGGCTTAGTCAAGTATTTGCAACAGAGACCATATGGCCCACATTTTAGAAAAAGTTTACAAGGCCTTGACTTAGGGAAAAAAAGGCTCTGAGTTAAAATAGGCCTTTGTTCAAACCTTGGTCAGATAGCTTAATTAGCTACTTGAACAGTTATGAATGGTGTCTCC